ACTATATATAATTATAATATAAAAAACATACATAGACCCGTTGATTATTCGACAACATTGAACCCAAGATAATGGTGTTTTTCTTCTCCATGACCTCATTGTCACCCCCGAACCGGAACGGCGGAAACGTCCGGGGGCGGAGGACGTCATTGTACAGTATCATAACAATTGAATATAAATGAAATCATAGCAACACAAACATCATACATTGAGATTACAAGTTTACATTGTTTACAAACTTCACTTACTCAAAAATTAAATACAAATAACTGAAAAGTAGAAAACATGATACGGCGACGCCGACCCTCAAAATGTTTTGAATACCCGTTTACTGATTTCCTGGGAATACAAGTGATTTTGAAAAGTGTTAACAATTAAGTTGGTGAGTTCATAAGCATTTTGTAAGAAAAGGGTTTGTAGCTGGTTTGCGTAAAATGGTTTTATATACTTCCAGAAAATCCGATATTTTCTTTAAAAACGAGCTGTAAGTCTTATACCCAAGACTAAAAATGTATGTATTTCCTTTGTATCTTTTCCTTGTAAAATGATAATGTATGTTTCCAGAAAATTCAATTTTTTCCTTAATATGAACTGTAGTCTTAAAACCCTAAGACCGGAAATGTAAGTAATGTTGTACTGAAAGATAGTATGTAGTTTTATCTTTTCGTAAAACTGATGAAGTGTAAGCTTCCCGTAAACCAAGTAGTTTTGTTAATCCCTATGCGAGTTACTATAACCATGCTTAATATGACTGATATGCCTGAACGACGTTCTTCAGGCGTCGGAATCGGTAGACATTTGTCACCCTAGACTTGCCGGTCTAACTGTAGCAAACAAGTTAGGTTCGGGGTTGTCAATCCCATGTAGATCTATACACAAACATCTCGCTCTCCCTCCAGGAGACTCTGGTTATAATGCAGGACTTAAAGTGTACGCTAGGTAGGTACGGTGAAGAGAGTGTCTCACAAGAGCATCAACAGATCTACGTGAACTATGACTCCCTTTTCTTGTAAAACGTAATAATTATACTTTTGAATAATTATATGGTTCTTTTGAAATGATAATGTAGTATTTGTGACCCATAAACTATACCAATTATAGTTTATTATGAATGTTTTGTCAAGTCCATTTATATAATCAAATATATAAACACATGTAAGTTATCATGTCTAGATGTTTTAAAAGATTATAACATATAAACTTACATCTAAACACATGTATAAAACATTTAGTATGATAAAGACAAATTTCTAGTTTTTGACTTTTCTGTCCATGTTTTTAGAAAAATTATAGAAAAATCATCGTAAGTCGAAATTTGGATCCGTAAACTCTCAGAGCTTAGAAAATGAGTCTACTTTGTCCATAATATTTTTCCCTGACCTTAAGTGGTTCCTAACTAGAGTGAAAACGTTCATTTTTACAGTCTGGTCTGAAAATGTTCTTAAATGATAGACACTTTTGTAAAAATCACCATAAATTGTAGAAAAATCGTATGAACACGTGCAAGTAGTCCTTAAAAAGGTATAGACGTGAAATATTTCCATATTGAACAGTTTTGAAATATATGAAGTTTAAGTAGGGCAAAACAGTCGTTAAACAAACCACAACTTTTCTGTGGAAAATTGATTTATAAGCTTAGATAAGTTTTAGTGATATAGCTTGTATTTTTAGTTTGCAAAGCCTTTAGATCTTCCAAATAAGATTTGTTTACTTGTATTCCCCCCCCCCCTAAAAACTTGGAAAAACTCGAAAATGAAGGGGTATGAACTCACCTTGTGTGGTTTTTGTGTGGTTTGGTTGAAGTGAGAAGATGGAGATTTCGAGCCTAACACTTGGATGGTGTTTGATGAACTTCTCGAAAAAGTTAGTATCCTAAGGTTTAACACATAATAATGTGTGTAAGGATGATGAAACTACCAAAACATGTATAAAAACACTAGAGTATCATGAAATCCTTACCAAAAATCCGAAAATCGCAAGAAGAAAAGGGAGTTCTTGGAGATCCTAGCTTGCTTTTGAGAAGGAGGCCTCTTCGGCTGAAGTTTATATAGAGGAAAGAAAAGATGGGTCATTGATACATGGAGGGTATTAGCATGCTTGGTATGGAGGTTTGTTGGGTAAATGAGTGTATTGTATGGATACTTGGTGGTTAATGGTATGCTTTGCATGAAGATATGATGGGTAATGGCTTGTGTTGGATAAAAGGTGGTAAAGTGGATGCATGGTTGTTTAGTGGGTATTAGCATGGTTTGTATGGAAATATGATGGGTAATAGAAGGTAAAGTTGGTGGGTTAAATCATAAAGTCAACTTCTTGAACTTTACACCCAACCGAGACCCTTAAACCGAGGAGAGGTTCTCAGGTTTCGAAGCCACCGAGATTTCGGTCCAATGAGGCCGATGACTAGGTTCTCGGTCCCAACCGAGAACCATGTGTGCGAGGTTTTCGGTCCGAGGGAGAGGAGTTCTCGGTTGTGAGGCTTTTCTCCTTTAGGGCATCTTTGTCCAACTTAAACACTTCCAAGACATTCTTCATGCAAATAAATTTTTAATATAGACCTTCAAATGTTTATTACCATAAAGTCGTGATGTGGTTTCTGCATCACACATAGCTATACTTTGCTTGATATGAATTTCTCCAATTGTCACACTCATTCGTGGCAATTTTGTTGGCATGCGAACATAATATTGTGTTGCTTCTAGGAACGTCTCCAGAATCCATATCCATGAAAAAAGGGAAGTATGATGCTATTATAGTATAAAAATGAAAGTACAACAGTATTATATAGAACGGAAGTACAATGCTATTATGGTATAAAAACGAAAGTATGATAACTATTTAAATACATTAGAAACTAACCTTAAACGAAAGTATAAAACTGGGAACGATATACTTGTGTACTTTCGTCGATTCGGGATTGGTCTGGTTAAATATTTTACAAATTTCTATTTTCTCAAACATTCCACGCATCAACCTCGAAGTATAGGTCCAGAAATATGTACCCCATACAAACCTGCAATTTTCAATTTATCTATTATAATTATTTTTGTATTTATACACAATTTTTAAATGTAATATTTGTTCCAATCATATATATTATCAACAAGCTTGTATACTGCCGCGGGAATGCACGTTTTAACGTCCCGTCCGTGGAGACCTTTCAACATAAAAACAAGCTGGATAAGAATTACCGCATCTTCATCCTGAAGTTGCAGATAATTCAGAGACATAATGTACTATTCTAAATCTCTGAGTCGCAAACGTGCATCTATAATGTCTGAGAACAACCGAGCCCGAAGATTTGAATTTAACCGACCTTTTTCGTCATGGAGTAAATTGACATAAGGACCAACTCTTAACCCACTAATCAAAATATACCCCATTTCACCAAAATCCAATTGCACCCCTGTATCTCAAACAGAAACCTCCCTGGTTCAAACACTTCTTGAGATTGTACTTCATGCAACATCATCAAATGCACGAGTAAGGGGTCACCATTGGGAACATGCATTCCTAAGAATCTTCCAAATGGTGAAGCTTCAAATAATGCTCGTTGCGATTGACTTAGCCGCGGAAAATAGTCTTTAATGATCGTACCGACCACGCATTTTAAAATTAAATGTTAGATGAATAAGTTTTTTGTTTCAAAACTTGATATCCGAAGAGCTTCTTCTTTTGGTTTTTTTTTCGGATATCAAGTATATTTGGACCGACCTAGAGCAAGAGAAAGTTTCGATGATAAAATGTCAATTTCCATTGATGAACTCTACAAAATAAATAAACACCTCCTTCACAAAACGAGTACAATTTTAGAAAATGTATTTTATTGCAACTAAAATAAAAACAAAAAAGTGGCCTAAACCGAACTTCGTTAGAATTATGCGGCTCAAATTCAAAATTTTCAAGACTTGGGGGGACTATAACGTAATATTTTGCTAATCTATTAGTTTTAGGGCTTTTCTCATACCGTCCTCTAAAACCCTGCTGCATCCTCTCTCTCTTACCCTTGCCGCGTTCATCTTCTAAAACCCACTTTCGTCATATTTCTGAATTCCTTCATACAGGCATTGAACACCGAACATGAAGAAGGAAGGGAGGAAGAAGCTGAAGGATGAGGATTTGAAACCAGTAGAGAAAGAAGATGTTGTGAACGGAAAAGAAGTTCTTAGTGATTCTGAGGACGACGGTGTAGAAAGTCCTGTCGTTTCGGATGATGATTATGGGGTATGTTCGTATTCCAATTTCTAACACTCCATTTTTGATAAAGTAAACACATAGCTGCACAGGATTAAATTGGTGTCGTCAGATGGTGTTTTATTAGAATGTTCAACTGAATCGTACTCGGGCAACGTTTGAGGTTTATTTTTAATGTTAAGTAATCGGATTGATGGCGCAAACACAGTGGGGAGGGGGTAGTAAATTCTAAAGCTACATGTTTGTATTACTATTGATATGTGCATATTGAAGTTATAATTTTGCAAGAGCATTACGAGTCTGTTTCTTATGCTTGTTAATGTGGTTTATCTGATTCTAGAGCTTCTCTGAGGGTGACGACTCTTCAAGGAACTCAGATTCAGAATCAGAATCCGGATCTGAACAGAGTGAATTCTCGGAAGATGAGGTACACAGTAATTACCTTTGTAGTGAATTGCAAAGATCTTTTAAAGCACACACCATCAATAACTTGACACACATATGTGTGATATACAGTTACCTATATCTAATCATCTCATATCTTTATTTTAGTCCTAAGGAACTTCTTAATTCTGAAAAAGTTTTTGGGCTTTCTCTGGAAATTATAAAGCATACCATAGATGTAATCCTGAGTTATCTCTCTTGCTATCATATCAGGATGATGAGAACCCAATCAACGAAGGTGAAGGTGATTTGAGTGATGGAGTTGATGATCATAGTGAAGGAGATCAAAGTGCAAGTGAGGATTCTCGTGAAGTAGTTGATGAGAGTGATTCATCAGAAGATGAGGTCCACTATAACATTTCTTTTTCAGTTTGAAATAGAGCTGCATATTTAGCTTCACTAGGGGTTTCATTTATATGTTATTCCAATACATAGTATGAATGTGGTTTTGATATTTGCTTTTTATAATAGGTTGGACCTAGGAACACTATTGGTGATGTTCCTTTGGAATGGTATAAGGAAGAAGAACATATTGGATATGATGTTGCTGGAAAGAAAATCAAGAAAAAGGAAAGACTAGATAAACTCGATTCATTTCTAGCAAGAACAGATGACTCAAATAGTTGGTGGGTTGGAGTCTTTTTTCATAAACTTGCTTACTTTGACATCAAAACTGATTCATTTTTTTAAAAAGATTCAAACTTTTTATCATTTTTTTTAAACATTTCAGGCGCAAGATCACTGATGATATTGAAGATGAGGAAATTGAACTTACTAAAGAAGAAACTAAGCTTATTCGCAGACTATTGAAAGGACATGCCCCTCATGCAGACTTCGATCCACATGCAGTTAGTGTCCTTTTTAGTAATTTCACATCAAAATGTGATTAACAATAACAATTACATAACTGAATCCAAACTATTCTTATCCTTTTTTGCAGCCTTATGTTGATTGGTTTGCATGGGATGGTGCTAAACATCCACTCTCAAATGCTCCAGAACCAAAAAGGCGTTTTATTCCTTCAAAATGGGAAAGCAAAAAGGTTGTTAAATACATCAGGGCAATTAGAAAGGGACTTATAACATTTGATAAGCCAAAAGAACAACCCCGTTTTTATAACTTATGGGGTGATGAATCTAGTTCAAATGAAAAAGGACATGGATTATCATACATACCTGCTCCCAAAACTAAATTACCAGGTTTGATTTCCTTCATATTCTTGTTTCCAAAATCTAAATTCTTCAAATTTCATGATATTTTCTTTTTCTCATAACTTATAATCAAACTTTTATCACTTTTAGGCCATGATGAATCGTATAATCCATCTTTGGAATATATTCCAACTCAAGAAGAGATTAGTGGTTATCAACTTATGTTTGAGGAGGACAGGCCTAAGTTTATCCCAAAACGGTATCCCACTTTCTTGAATCTTGATTTTGGCTTTAAATTTCAAGATTTAGTACTTTCTTGAATCTTGATTTTGGGTTTAAATTTCAAGATTCAGGTACTAATATAATCTTTATCTTTCAATCTTTTAGGTTCACATCTTTGAGAAGTGTTCCAGCTTATGAAAAGAGTGTGAGGGAAACTTTTGATCGTTGTTTGGACTTATACTTGTGCCCTAGGGCACGAAAGAAGCGTGTAAGTGGGTCCCAGATAAAGATCTCTGTAAATATCAGTTTCTGAATTTAATCTTTTCATATAATTTTTGTGATTTTTCAGATTAATATAGATCCAGAGTCTTTAAAACCCAAGCTTCCAAGTCGAAAAGATCTTAAACCTTATCCAACAACATGTTATCTTGAGTATAAAGGGCATAAAGGTCCAGTTTCTTCAATTTGCACTGACACATCTGGCCAGTATATTGCTTCTGGTAACATATTCTAGATTCTGATTTTCTTTTTATTCAATGGAGACATGTTTTTTGTGTTATTTTTTTTAAATTTATTATGATTAAACAGGATCACATGATGGAACTGTTCGTTTATGGGAGGTTGAAACTGGTAGATGTATCAAGATTTGGGAATTAGGTGAACCTGTGAAACATGTTGCATGGAATCCTTTACCTGAGCTTCCTATTTTAGCTGTTTCAATGTAAGATCAATTCATTAAATCACTTGTTTTTATATATATATTTTTTTTCAAAAGTTGTAATGATTAAATGTGAAAAACATTCAGGGGACATGATGTTTTTCTTTTGAACACTGGGCTTGAGAAAGAAGAACATAAGATGATTTCAGATCTTTTGCATGTTGAAACTCCCACTTCCCCTGATGAATCTGGTTAATTTTCTTGGACTTTTGATTTTTATTTTTATAAATCATCTTTCTCTAAACAAAAAACCATAAACCTTAAATTTGATTTGTTATAGAAACTGCAGTCAGTGTAAGCTGGTCTCAATACGATAAATATGAAGGAATCAGGATCACACACTTCAAGGTGGTTTATTTATTTTTATTCTTTTCATTTTTTTTTAAAAACTTAAATTAGATAATAAAAAAATGAATTCACATGTTTTTGAGTGTCATTGCAGTCTGTTTCATCTGTGGAATGGCATCGAAAAGGAGACTATTTCTCTACTGTCATGCCTGCAGATATCCTTTTTATCTCAGTTTTATTGTTCCTGATATTTTACAGATTTGCCCTTGTATTTTATTATGATTACTTGATTGTTATACCTTGACTTGATTCTTACGTGAATCAAAAGCAGTATTAATACATCTGCTATCAAAGAAACTTACTCAAAGATTACCATTCAAGTTACATGGTCTTCCTGTTTCTTCAACTTTTCATTCTACAAGATCAATCTTTTTTGTTTCAACAAAAAAGAATGTTAGAGTTTATGATTTAGTAAAGAAAAAGTTCATCAAAAAGCTTGAAGCTGGAGTGCGTGAAATCTCTTCTATCTCCATTCATCCTGGTGGTATGTTTCCAATTCTATCCCTTGTTTATTGTTCTAGATCAAATTTTTAATGAAAACTATATTAATCATGTGATAAGTTGTTAATATATTATTGTTTTGATGCACAGGTGATAATGTTATTGTGGGAAGCAAAGATGGAAAGTTATGTTGGTTTGACATGGATCTTTCATCAAAACCTTACAAAGTTCTCAGGTATGTTTTTCATTAATAGTAATACCATGATTGATATCTATGAATCTAACATTAACATGATATGATTTTTCCAAATGTGTTCAGATCTCACAATAAAGACATAACAAATGTGGCATTCCATCGCAACTACCCTTTGTTTGCATCTTGTTCTGATGATTCCACAGCATATGTTTTTCATGGCATGGTCTACTCAGATCTGAATCAGAATCCTCTTATTGTTCCTTTTGGAGATTCTTCATGGCCATAGAGACACAAATGGAAGAGGTCTCTTCTTCTTCTTCTTCTTCTTCTTCTTCTTCTTCTTCTTACTTGAATTTCTTTGTGAATGCTATTTTTACTTATAAACAAATCATCTTATTTGTTGTTGTTGTTGTTGTTTAGGTGTGTTGGATTGTAAGTTTCATCCAAGGCAGCCATGGTTGTTCACTGCTGGGGCTGATTCTGTGATCAAGCTCTTCTGCCATTAAAAAACTCGGTAGAAAGTTTGAAATGATGATATGTTTGTCTTCAACATCTCTACAAAATATGGAGTTGTTTTGTTTTGTGATTTGTAGAAAAGCATATGGTTATGGTTTTAGTTCAATTTTGTTGTCATATCATTGTAGGAAGTGGGAGGGTTGACTTTTAGATATTTGTTATTCCTAAAGAGCATTAAAAGGGATGGGATTATGTATGTTTATGAGTTCATCTTATGAATGGTGATTGCATTTTGTCTATTTTGTTAATTTCTTTTTTAGTAAATTGCAAAATTTGGTCCCCGTGGTATCTTAAAAAGTACAAGTTGAGTCAATTATTTTTCCCTTGCACATGTCCAAAAAAATTTAAAATACAGTGCAGATTTTGGTCCTTTGAAAATTTAAATGCATTTGAATATAAAAATTCATTGTTTTCCTATACACCAACAAAAAACATGATTATAAATTAGACATTGACATCGTTAACCACAAAAAGCGCGCCTCATGTAATAACTCTCTTTAAAGAAAATATCAACACATGAGCATATTAGCCAAAAAAAAACCGAACTGTAACCAAATTAACCAATATAACCGAACCATTTTAACCGAACTTTTACTAAAAGATATGGTGCGGTTTTTAATTTTGATTAACCGAATACATATGGTTCGGTTATGGTTTTCTTCTAAAACCAAACCACTATTAACCGAACCAAACCAATAATATTAACAAATATTTTTGATATAATATAATATCAGATACTCATCGGTTTTATATTTATTGTCCACTTATGACTTTTGAAGTTTTTAATCTTCAACTTTAACCTTAAATATTTTTGTTATTGATATATAATAGTTTATGCAAAATATATGAATGGATTATGTTTTAAATGTTTTTTCATTGTTATAATTCAATCAAGTAATTTATAACACAAATAAAATTATTTAAGGTTAAATTTGAAGAATAAAGACTTCAAAAGTCAAAAGTTGACAATGAATATGGGACGTAATGAGTATATTATATGTAATTATATTAAGAATTGAAATTTTAAAGAGAAATTATCTAGAATTAGATATGATAAGTAATCTTCTATCAATACAATTATATATACGCTATCATTCACTTTTTATAACAATGAACTTTATGTTTTTCATTTTTTATAAAAAACTATTTTTATTTTTATGATATCTTGTACCATTATGGTTAACCGATATTAACCATTAACCATAATCATTAACCAACTAAAACCATTAACCAAAACCAATATTAACCGCTACCCAATGTTTATCGAAATACATTAACCAATTGTAATGGTTATGATTGAGTTTTGACCAATAACCGAACTAAACCGCCCCATACACACCCCTAGACATCATCGTGAATTTGGAAATTTCCCATTTCTGAAAATATATTTCTAACAAAAGGTTCTTCGGAAATAAATTTTTGGAAGTTGACCTGTGATTTTCGAATATTATAAGCAAATAAGATTTATTTAAATGCACTATGGTTTTTGAATCTGATTTCACGACTTAAAAGTTTTTTCGGAAATAACTTTATCAAAATTATCGAACCCATTTAGATTTAAAAAATCTATTTTCTGTCATAAAGTAATTTCGACAATTGTTTTTTCTGGTAATTTCAAATTCAATTATTATTTTTCGAAGTATTTTTTCTATAGAAAAGATGGTTTGGAATTTTCAAGGACGTATGAGATTTTTGAAATATTTATGTTTTTAGTCTATTTAAACATATATTGTCGATCTATTTAAAGGTCAAAAACGTACACATAAACGTTATACAAATTTCTTCATTGAAAGATTATCAAACAAGAGAATTATTCAGGTCAAGAAGAGATACCATGAAGCAGTTGCATGTAAATAACACACAACATGTGGTCTGCAATGTGGGAATCACAAACTGTTGAAACTCAATCTAAATGATTAGGTTGTCTGGACTCAAGTTTTTTGGCCCGATTCTTACCTATGATTGGCTTCAAGTTGGAATATGACATAAAGGTCAAAAACAACTAATAAAACATGATTGAATCTAGGGAGATGGTAGAGGAGATAACAACAATAACAAATATTTATGAATTTGTATCTATTTTTTGGTTGGATGACAACTCAGGTGAAAGTGTGTTGGAGACTAATCTTTTATGCGAGTTGTCATTCTCCGATAAGTACTTCTTGGTTTGATGGCAACTAGTGTCTTCTTTTTTGGTGGTAAATGAGGTCAATATCTCTATTCTTAATAAAATAAACCTTTGGACGCCACATGGCACTCTTTTACACCTCTCTTTTGCCACGTGTCGTTACCAGCTTTGTGTTTTGACTGAAACTCCCGCTCTTTTATATCACCAAAAATTCGAAACTATCATCTCCTATAAATCAGCTAATCCATATAAACTTACCTGCAAAAAAAACTATAATCAGTCATATATTTATGGAATATGTATTATGCAAATCAATAATCTACGTTATCACCTCCTGTAAATCAGGAATATTATTTTTCATATTACGCAATCAATCAATGAACAGTAGACGAATTTCAATTGTTGATTGTACAAATCAATTAATCAATTAACTAAAAACATACAATCGACATTATCACACCCTGTAAATCAGCAAATCAATTTATACCATATCGTTGACTCAAAAACAACTTTATTTATGTATACTGCAAATTCGTTCTTATTTTTTCTTCCAACTATTTTCATCTCATATCTTCTCTACCGATTTTGAAATTTAAATCAATTACCCACTAAACAAATCCACAAAATCAGGAATAAAATCTCCATATTTATATCAAGCCATCGAATTGAACAACATTTTCTACTGCTCTACTCTGCCATCGAATTTGAGTGAAATTCTCTGCTCTGATCTACCACATTTCTTAAAGGTTAATAATACATAGTTTTTTTTAACATCAAACCGCACATCGTTTATTTTTTCATATTTTTTTGTTCTCTTTTTTGTTGTGTTTGTGTTGAAACTCTAATTCGTTTCTTATAACATAAACTGTACATCGGTTTCTGTTTTTTCATATATTTTTGTTCTCTTTTATTTCTGAATTGTTTCTTTTTGTTTTATTTTATTTCTATCATTTGTCTTCAAACTCTGAATTGTTTCTTTTAACATAAACTGCACATTCGTTTCAGTTTTTATTTGTTTAACATCAAACTGCACATCATTTTTTTTATCATATTTTTTTGTTCTCTTTTTTGTTGTGTTTGTGTTGAACTCTAATGCGTTTCTTATAACTTAAATGTACACCCGGTTTCTATTTTTTCATTTATTTTTGGTCTCTTTTATTTCTATCATTTGTGTTCAAACTCTAAATTGTTTCTTTTAACAATAACTGCACATCGGTTTTATTTTTTTTTTGTATATTTTTGTTCTCTTTTTTTCCTGTAATTGTGTCAGTCTCAAATTTCTCTACAAGTTTACAACTGTAGTCTTTCACATTTTATTTGTTTATTTTAGCATCGTACTTATTGTTATTTTTTAATTCATCTTATATCTGTTATTTGTTTATTTTAACTGCTAAGTTCATATTTTATACATTCTTTTCAGATCAATGTCGCAGGCAAATGTTACTTTCATTGTTGATTTGGATGTACTCAAAGATGATTCAACTATCAAAGTCAGAGTGATAAACCTATGGAACCTTTCTTCATTCTATAACAATGATGAACTTTTCTCTATTGAATTGATTTTGATAGATGAACAGGTATCTTACAACTTACCATTATAGATTCCTTAGTCATTCAAATGTAATATGATTTAATTATAATTTTTTTATATTATATTTATGTAGGGTACCAAGATACAAGCAAATGTATTAAAAAAATACATTTACCGTTTCAAAAACATTTTAAAAGATGGCTTGGCATTTTACATAAAATGTCCAAGCTTTGCATCCCAAAAGATGGGTGGTTTCAGGTTAACTCGCCAGGAACATAAACTTACTTTCCTCTATAACACCGTTGTTACGGAGTGTCATGACTTTTCTGGACATACATTTGATTTTGAGTTTGTTGATTATCAGTCTATTATCTCATTAGTCCATCCTGAAAACATTGCTATTGGTTAGTTTTCCTTAAACATATATTAATTATGGACAATTTTTTTGTTTGAATAGATTATTATCTCTTTACATTAATAATAATATTTCATTGATATTTGTTGTTCTTCATAGATGTTATTGGATTAGTGGTTGCAATTGGTGAGATGGGGCGAGACAATAATGATAAAAAAAACACAGGCTCAACATCCAAATCCAAGATACAAAGTTTGTTAAAATACATATTTATTTTTGGATATTAGATTTATATAATATTCATTTCATTTAATTTAACAATTTTTTTTCAGTGGTTTGCAACTGAGTGTCAATTTGTGGGGTGATTTTGCTTACAAAATGCAACACTTTATTGATAACAATCCACACAATCTTCGTATCATTGTTATCCTTCAATTTGCAAAACTTAGTATTTGGAGAGGTATACTCTATGATTTTCTTATTAAACATTATTCTATTATCATTTAACTAACACTTTGTTACATCTATTTTATAGATCGTCCCACGGTTAACACCTACTTTTCCGTGTCAAAGCTGTTCATTAACACTGACATTGATGAAATCAATGTTTTTAAGAAAAGGTAATATATGTTATACAATTATAATTATAATTTGTATAATTAACTATTATGTGATTGATATTACTTAATTTATGTTATTTCATTTTAATTTCTACAATTAACTTTTATATGTGTAATATTAGTTAGTTGTTTTTAACTAACAGTTTGGATGGAGATGATCGTCCTGATTCATCCGCGAATACATTCACACTTATGAAGTCTAATAAAGTTTCTGAACATGAAGATTTCATGGTTAAGTTTCAGCTGAAGACTATTGCTGATGTTTCGGAACCCGTAGAGGTGTGTTTCATATACAATTTCTTATAATCAATATAAGCCTACTTTTATGTTATGTATATTGAATTATCAAAATACAATTAATATGCAGAAAAATTATTTCATTATCGTGGGCACTATAAAGGGAATTCTACAAAATGAACAATGGCATTATTTGGCATGTACAAATTGCAACTACAAAGCAATTCGGCCTCCAGGTGCAGACGAGAAGCCTGATTTTGATGGATCACTTGGAGGTTATGAATGTCATAATAATGAGTGCACAAAAACCGAAAGTGCAGTCGTTCCAAGGTTATTAATTTCATCCTAAATCAGTAAAACCTATATTATATTTCGTATATATAAATATTATTTTTGATTTTCATTTTTTATAGATTTATGATTTCGGTACGTGTTCAAGACAATACCGGTACTATTACCCTAACCATGTTTGAAAGAGATGGAAAGTATCTTTTGAAGAAATCAGCGAAAGAACTGTTTGATAAAGCAGTCAAGGTGGTGCACCTTAATTAAATTTAATTTATACATTTACTTAATTAGAAATACTTTAACTAAACTTTTTTTAATTTTTTGTATTGTAGCTTGGTTTTAGTACTCATTTGTATCCCGGAGAGATAAATGCACTTAAAGGTTTGAAGTTGGCTTTTAAAGTATCAATCAATCGCTTCAATGTCTCGAAAAAGAACAACCAATACGGTATATGTAGAATCAATGATGATGAAAAGTTGATTGAAGAACTGGAAAATAAGTTTACCAACTCACAGGTCATTATTTTATTTATTATTGTTATAATATAATATTATTATGTATTATTATTATTATCATTATTTTATTTATTAATATTATATATGTTCATATTTTTATTATTTATTATGCAGGTAGGTATCTCACAGTCAATTGATATTGGTGAAGCCGATACTGAAACACAAGATAATAGGATTTTGAAGGTTATATACACATTATAATTGCATATAATTATGTTATAAATATTACTTCACTTTATAAATTAATTAAGTACAATTATTTTTTGTTTAGGATGCAATATCTGGTACGGACGACAACATAACACCTACCACTGTTGATAAAAACTCAGCAACAAGTCCCATGAAGGGTTTGAATACACCAACAGTTTTGAAGAGAAATCTCGAAGAAGTATTTGATTTGGAGTTAAATGAAAAATTATCATCATCAAAAACTCCTAAGATATCTCCAGAAGGACGCATTAACCAGTTAGTGAAGGTAAAGTTGGAAAAAAGTGGCTGAGTTTTTATTATAAGTTGAAGTTTCGTAAGGTAGTGGATTATGATTTTTAAATAATGATTATGCATTTTATTTTTCATTATGTGACATTCTGTTTTTTAAGTTTGATACATTTGTTGGGGATTATTGTTTTTTTTATGATATTTTTTCATTATGTTACATTTTGTTATTTAATTCACTTATGGTTTTGTAATAAGGTCCAAATTTATAGTAAATAAATGATAATAAAATTTATGAGATTATTATATGTAAAGTTTATGGGCTGAAAGAATTTTATGTTATCATATGTTGAATAAGTTCATAGTTCATAAACTATGGGTTGAAAGAATTTTATATGTTTTAAGTAAAAGCAAAATTATACAAAAGCCACTGCCTTTTCAGCAAATAACATACCAATTTTTTTGCATTAAAGCTATGGCGTACAGTTTTTCTTATATCCATTGATGCTCTGTCAAAAGTTTTCATACTGATTTTATAACACTTCTTATTCATATTTTAAAGAAACTCATTGCATTTTTTTTAAAGGACTTAATGTAAAAAAAATAATGATGATCCTATATAACTGCAAACATATATAACTTTCTGGATTCTTATTTTAAGAAACCTTACCACTCTGCGATTTCTACATCCAAAGCTGAAAATTGATGATCCTAAATCCGTTCCAGCTTCTTTCAAACCCAACCTTTACCGAAGAAAACCCCGGAATGGAGTTGATGATGTGGGTTCTGGTGTTAGGTGTTCTAACCAAAACATGTGCCAAGCTTTTTTCAGGCTCAGGATTCTGTAAATTAATAATAAACGAATTAAAAAAACATTTTCTTTCTTTAAAATAGGAATCCATAAACATATTTTGTGTCATGTATCTGATGTGGCAGCCATTCCCACATCACATAGAAAACATCCGGTTGATGATGTGGGTTTTGGTGTTTACCCTATTGTTGTCTAAACAATATATGATTGGGACCCTCCTACATCAGTTTTCATGATAGGGGTATTTCAAAATTCACACAAATGATCCCCTGAATAATCATTCACACAAATGATTCCTAAAATAATGCTATTTCAAAATTCGAATGTTTAAACAAATACTTCAATTTCAAATTTTGAACCAAAATCATATATACCTGATTGTGTTTCCGCTCTTAACGACTGTGAGGGTATTATTTTGAACGGCTTCAGTTTTCGCTTATATCTTCGTATTCAACATTTCTGGAAGAAAAAAAAATCAGGTAAAAATTATTCGTCTGTGAATGATTTTTCTGTTAAAAAAAAACAAGATAAACAATGAATTCATCATCTCTTACCTTCGATCTTCCTTTCTTCAAACGCGAAAGTTGCGTTTAAGCAGTCTCTGAGTTCGACATCGGGATTTACTCAATATAGGATTTTCTTCACTTCACATTTCTAATCGGTTGAGTATTACTATATTCGTTCATCGATATAAATGGATAAACCTTCATACCCATTCACAAATCGATTGGTGGTTGTGGAAATGTGTATGTAATCGTAAGTCTAGGTCTGATTTTGTGTTTGAGCGTTTTTCTTACAGACAAAAGGGGAAGGGGAACGTTTTGGGATTATCAATAAGGGTTAGGTGGGTTTTTTTATAAATTAAAAATGCTGAATAATCATTAAAATCATTAAAATGATATTTTTAATATTTCCAATGTATTTTTATTGATTTATTCATAAACACTTTCATAAATATCAATGAAATTTGTTAAACATTTTATTTTATATATATATATATATATATATATATATATATATATATATATATATATATATATCAAATTATTAATCTTATTTTTAACTTTATTTTATTATTTTTATTATATATCGAACAAGAATATGGATGCCACATACGCTAGAGAAAGAAGAAAAAAGAGAAAGTTATATTTGGATAATAAAAAATCCAAAAAAAACATTACCGCGAAATTGTCTCAACGTATACCTATTGCACATGCTATTCATTTTAGCCAAAACGGTAATATTCTTACTTACTTTTACATGTTTTTAATCTGTTGTTCATACTTATTAAAAAGAAATAAATGACTTTTATAAAATAGCATATTATTTCAAATTATATAAAAAAATTTCCCTAAATTATTTACTTTTATTTTACAGGTTCAATTAACACTACAGGATCTACTAACGCTAAAGAAAGGAGAAAATTTAGAAAGTTATATTTGGATAATAGAAAATCAACAAAAACTTCTAACACATCTACCCGTCAAATATCTTCTACTACACATGTTTCTTACATGTCGAATAACGGTATTGTTATTTGTTTATTTTAAAAATATTTTTTGTCTATAAAATTTATATAAATTATATATATTCTTAAATTTATTCTCTTTTAAAAAGTTAATATTATTTGTTTTATTATTAACTATCTTTTTTTCTCTTTACATAACAGACATCTACAATCGTCATCGTTATCCAGAATCTATAGATAACTACAGAAATGTTACGTCAGATAAAGAAAATATAAACTCAGTCAAATCATTTGTATATCAAGATAAAACTATTCATTCTCCTTCTACAAATACAAATGTTAGAACTCCCCTTTCCAACATTTCAAATGGTATGCATTTTTATATAGTCAAAATTTAAAATATATCTTTCACATTTGTATAATTTATAAAGATTCCTAACGTTGTAATTTGTATTTTGATTTTTTCAGGAAATTATAGTTTCCATAATAACATTCAAACACCGATATCTATTAACAATGATAAATCATTGTTTTCTATTGGTATGACATCCACCGGTCGTTCGAGCATCATTCAAAAATCTTCATCAATCAAGTTACCAACAGGAAAACATCGGTTAAAAAGGAAGACTACACGTATATCTGATATACCTTTGTTTGACTTGACATTAGATGAAGAAATTAATGCTGAGCAAATTATTGATGATGTTTGTCGCGGTACATCAATAGGTGATTATATTTCTTAAAAATTTGCTATTATTAATTTTTTAAAACTTTAATTATATTCAGAAATTTTAATTTCTTTATCATATTCAACAGATTACTTGGATCATGGAGACCAGATTGTTATATGTCAGATTTGTCATGCAAAACTATGGAAAGATGAATCGGTTAGAGGCAAAAAAAAAAGAGAATGCATCTTATTCCCTATGTTGTGGCTATGGAAAAGTTGAGCTACCACCTTTAAAAGAAGCTCCATCATCTTACCAAAATCTTTATCGGTCGATAGATTCAAAAAGCAAACACTTCATCAAGAACATTCGTCGTTACAATTCGATGTTTTCATTTACATCGATGGGAAGCAAAGTTGATTCATCCATTAACAAAGGCAACGCTCCGTACATATTCAGACTTAGTGGTCAAAACTATCATAGTATGGGTAGTCTTTTGCCAGCAGATGGATCAAGACCAAAATTTTGTCAATTATACATATATGATACGGAGAACGAGAATTCAAATAGATCAACAAGTGTTGGGTATATACTATAACTAAAGTTTACTAATTCAATTCATTTCATTTATTTATTCTTTTACTTATATTATATACATATTTATTTATTTATTTCATTATAATCTTTTCAGTGGACCAATGAACGCTTCTACGTCAACTTCAACTGCATATGATTTTCAAATTATAGAATTTTTGAAGGTTATGCTAGATTCAAATAATGAGTTGGTTAAGTGTTATAGGATGGCAAGAGATTGCATTCATTCAAATCCTCATGTTGATTATAAATTAAGGTTAATTGGAAAAAGAGAGCAAGATGGAAGGACGTATAACTTACCAACTTCTTCCGAGGTTGCAGCATTAATTGTCAGTGACTTTTTGTGAATCGATTGAAAAAAGAGATATCGTTGTTCAAACTTCCTCAGGATTACTACAACGTATTAGTGAATTGCATCCTTCTTACCTTGCTCTTCAGTATACATTACTATTTCCATACGGAGATGATGGTTACAGAGTTGACAACCTTCATAGAGGTATTACATCTTCTAGCAACAGCAAGCGGGCAACCTGTACAATGAGAGAATTTTTTGCTTACAGAATTCAGGACAGGGATCATTCGTTCTCACTAATCCTAAATGCAAAAAGGTTGTTCCAACAATTTTTGGTAGATGGTTATACAATGATTGAAAGTGAGAGATTATATTTCATTCGTAATCAACAAAAAATTCTGAGATGTACGTCTTATGAGAATTTGCGTAGCCAACAAGCTGATGGGAATACAGATATTTCCAATGTCGGACAACGTGTCATCTTACCTTCTTCATTTACCGGTGGTGCACGCTATATGATGCAAAACTATTTGGACGCCATGTCGCTCTGTAAATGGTTCGGATATCCAGATTTTTTCATAACCTTTACGTGTAATCCAAAATGGCCAGAAGTTAAAAGGTTTCTTAAGTACACATCACTTAGTCCAGAAGATAGACCGAATATCTTATGTAGGTTATTTAAGATCAAGCTTGATGCATTTATTAAAGATTTAAGGGAAAATGAAATTTTCGGAAAGGTTCAAGCAGGTATTTAAATTTATATTTAAACATATAAATATAAATTTATATATAATAATATACAAGTCCTAAATTAATTTTAAATTATGTTTCTTAATAGTTGTTAAATATATTTTAGTTGCTAACTTTTGCCTTATTTTAATGTTTTACATGCAGTGGTTTATACGATTGAATTTCAAAAGAGAGGTTTGCCTCATAGTCATATATGTCTGTTTATACATGCTGATTGCAAACTTCCTACTGTTGAATATATCGATCCAATTATTTCTGCTGAAATTCCAAATATCGATGAAGATCCAGAATTGTATTCACTTGTCAAGGAGTTCATGATTCATGGTCCTTGTGGAGCTGCAAATATGAATTGCCCATGCATGGTGGACAGAAAGTGTTCTAAAAACTTTCCAAAGCAATTCTGCAATCATACTTCAGTTGATGACAATGGTTTTCCCTTATATAGGAGAAGAAACGATGGATATTTTGTTGAAAAATCTGGTGTTCAGTTAGATAACAGGAATGTTGTTCCATACAACAAATATCTCTTGAAAAGATATCAGGCACACATTAATGTTGAATGGTGCAATCAAGGATCTTCCATAAAGTATTTATTTAAATATATAAACAAGGGTCCTGATAGAGCTACTGTTACTATGGTGCAAAGCGATAATGATTCTGATAACACCGATGCAGTGGATGAAATAAAAGAATACTATGATTGTAGATATATATCTGCATGTGAAGCATCATGGCGTATTTTTAAATACGATGTTCATTATAGGTATCCTGCTGTCATTAGGCTACCTTTTCATCTTCCTGGTCAACAACAAGTTGTATAGGAGGCTGACGACGATATTGAAAATGTTCTTAACAAGCCTTCAATTGCTTCTTCAATGTTCACCGGTTGGATGAAGTGTAATGAAATTAACAAAGAAGCTAGGAAACTTACATATGTTGAATTTCCTACAAAATTTGTTTGGAAATCTAATCTTCTTATTTGGAAGCCAAGGGAAATTGGATATGCAATTGGTAGAATTCATTCAGTTTCACCTAAGCTAGGCGAAGCATATTTCTTAAGGATTCTTTTAAATAAAGTTAAAGGTCCAAAATCATTTGAAGAAATTTGCACAGTCAATGGTGAAATATGTTCTACTTTCAAAGATGCATGCTATAATCTAGGCCTTTTGGATGATGACAAAGAATACATCGATGCAATTAAGGAAGCAAGTCTTTCTGGATCTGGTTTTTATCTACGATTCTTATTTGCTACGATGTTATTGTCCAATAGTTTGTCTAAACCAGAGATTGTTTGGGAAAACACTTGGGATATCTTGTCAGATGGAATTCTTTACAATCAACAAAGATTAAAGTCTCCAGGTATTGTAACTTTATGTCATTATTATTAACACATTATAATATAAAATTTCAATATACATTCAATTACATTTTACATCTCAATTAAAATATTCTTTAATATGTTTTTAGTAATATAATATTTTTTGTACAGGTTTATCATTAAACGAAGATCAACTTAAAAACTTGACTTTGTTTAAGATAGAACAGATTCTACTCCGTAACAATTCCAGTCTTAAAATATATACAAGGATGCCTTACCCAGATGCTGATTCCGTTTCATCTGCAAACAATCGTCTTATTAGTGAGGAGCTGGATTATGACATACCAATTTTAAAGAATGAGTTTGATCGGCTGTTTCTTGCATTAACAAACGAACAACGCAATATTTTTATTGATATCATGGGTGCAGTTAAAGATAATAAGGGAGGTGTATTCTTCGTTTATGGTTATGGTGGAACGGGTAAAACATTTCTTTGGAAGACAATTTCTGCAGCTATTAGAGCCCAAGGTGAGATTGTTTTAAATGTTGCATCAAGTGGGATCGCTTCATTATTATTGACTGGAGGCAGGACAACACACTCTAGGTTTATAATTCCACTAACTCTCAACGAAGATTCTGTTTGTAGAATAGATCCAGATAGTGATCTCGCAAGTTTAGTAAGAAAAACCTCATTGATCATTTGGGATGAAGCACCCATGGTACACAAGCATGCATTTGAAGCTTTAGATCGAACTTTGAAGGATATATTAAAGTGTGTCAATCCAATGAACTCAAATATTCCATTTGGAGGGAAAGTTATTGTTTTTGGAGGTGATTTCAGACAAATTCTACCTGTTGTTCCAGGTGGTAGTAGACAAAACATTGTTAATGCTTCTTTGAGTTATTCTCATTTGTGGAAACAATGCAAAGTCCATAAATTAACAAAAAACATGAGATTGACTGTTGGAAGCGATCCATCTGCTATGGAAGAAACAAGGGGTTTTTCAAACTGGCTTTTGGACATAGGAGAAGGTAATCTTGGTGGTCCGAATGATGGTGAAACGATTGTTGAAATTCCGAAAGATATTCTTATTAATGATCCTTGTGATCCTATAGGTTCATTAATCAAGTTTGTATATCCTTCGATTCTTGAAAACTTCAACATTGCGGGTTATTTTCAAGAAAGAGCAATACTTGCTCCCAAGAATGAAGTTGTCCAAGAAATAAATGATCGTTTGCTAAAATTGTTTCCAGTAGAGCAAAAGAAATATTTAAGTTCAGATAGCCTCTGCCAATCCGAGTTTGTTAATGATCAGTTTGATGCAAATTTATACTCACCTAATGTTTTAAATGGTCTAAAACTCTCAGGTTTGCGAAACCATAAGCTCATTTTAAAAATCGGTGTTCCGGTTATGTTATTGAGAAACATTGATCAGAAAAATGGCTTATGCCATGGCACTAGACTACAGGTTATATCTTTGGGCAAACGTGTTATTGAGGCGGTTATCATATCTGGAAGTAATACTGGAAACCGGACTTTTATTCCAAGAATGTCTTTAACTCCTTCCGAAAATAAGATCCCGTTCAATTTCCAAAGAAGACAATTTCCATTGGCTGTATGTTTTGCCATGACAATTAATAAGAGCCAATGACAGTCTTTATCGAAGGTTGGTTTATTTCTCAAAGATCCTGTTTTTACACATGGCCAATTGTACGTTGCTTTATCCAGAGTTCAAAGTAGAGAGGGATTAAAATTGTTAATTTTAGATAAGGATGGTAAACTTACAAATAAAACATCAAATGTTGTGTATAAAGAAGTTTTTAGGAATTTATAAAACCTTTGTACAATTTTATTATTCAATCAATTTATGTTTGTTTTTTTTTAATTTATATTGCATTCCACAAAATGATAAATTTTGAACATATCTTAAAATATATATTTCCATTTGGGTAATCTACCAACTATGCTTTCCTAATTATTAAATTTTTCATTAAATTGCTCAATAATTAAGTCATAATTTAACTATTTTTTTTAACTTTTCATCCGTGGTGTCCACGAATTATAACCTAGTTTCTTATAAAATATATTGACTCGTTACATTATTTTACCTATTTCATTACAATATTTATTTCATTCCATCCCACCAAACACACTCCACATGCTTTACGAATTCAAAAACACAAATCTTTAAAAAGTGTTGGAACTTTATTAAATTCCTTATATTCTAAAAATAACTGTAACATATATTTTATATAATGCAAAAGAATTATATGAAAAAATTCATTAGAGTCATCATTTCATCCAACGAATTGGACTCTAATCCTAGAAAAGGGATAATTAAAATTGTTCACTCAACATACAAAACAAACAACAATTTCAACCTACTACTTATTTAAATAAAAGTGAACCAACATCGTAGTAGCATTACAACCAAATAACTTTCAAACAATATACAATGCGTACTTCATGATGTATAACTACAAGAGAAAAAAAAGGCCCAAAACCAATATTCATTTGTTACAAAATGTTATAGAAACTTCATATAGTTTCAAAAACAAGAATCTATTGTAAAAGTTGAACAGCAGCTATGGCAGGTATCTTTTCACGCAGTTTCTGTGTCAAGGCTACTCTCACTGTCATCACACTTGCTGCGGGACCCGTTAACCGTACTTTCACAATTGGCTCTTCTATTGACACAAGCTCCACTTCTCCACCTGCGGCCCCCACAAGATACGGACGAATTTCTTCCAACACCTATCATATTTCAAACCATCACACCCACAGACATGACAGATCAAGTTGCCCTGTGTGTTCTGAGACTGTGACTGATGTCAATAGGACAAAGATTGTGACTTTTTATTCCATTCCATGATTCCATCCAACCAAACAGGCCCTTTTTGAGATATAAAATATCATATTGAATATAAATAAAGTTGTATCATTTTTCATGTTTGTGGGCAATTATGAAGTGAAATACCTTCTCTATGTTTTCTTCATTGAGCTCAAGGCCAGTTTCTTCATCTGGAATTGGTTCAACTGCAACAATTTCAGGGATCTTCTCCATGAGACGACGTTCAATCCCTAATTTCATGGTTGTTACAGAACTTGGACATGAACCACAAGCTCCTTGTAGCTTTAATCGAACAATGTTTCCATCGATTTCATGTAATGCTACATTTCCTCCATCTGCAATGAGATATGGTCTGATTTCATCCAATACACTCTCAATGTTTTCTGCTGTAAGAGGTAGCTCAATAGCTGATTCTGGAGTCGCAACAGCCTTCACAACTGCAACATGGGAGTGATTTAGGCTTTAGCACAAAAACTTGATTAGAAGCACTTAAAGAATTAAGTAATTAACATCAATAGCATGTTAGCATTAGCAACTTCATCCAATTAATCTGAAGCCCATAAACAGAAAGATCTATGTGAAGAGGCTAGAAGCGAAGAACTGAGAGCAAATTTGTTGTAGAGTGAAGGGCCTAATGTGAAAGTTCAATACTTCTTTCTCTTTAGGTGTTAACATGTTAACTGAAACTATTCCAATTTCACCTCAGAATGACAAGCCTCAAGCTTTCAATAATAACCATTGACATGTTTAGGATCACGAATTCCAGATTCTGAAGATAGAATGGAGCAAACGCAGCTGAAAAGTTCAACTGAAACCACTAGTTCTAGATGAGAACAGCTTCAAGCACCAGAAAATCATACCTTTCCTACGGGTAGATGATGAAAATCGAATTTTTGATGTCCTAGAACCGCCCCTTGCAAAAGAAAACCGATTGCCCAAAATACTAGAAGAAACCTGGAATTGTTCAATACGAAAATCCCAACAAAGAAATCAATAATTGATCATAACGAAATCCAGAGGCATAGATGAAAACACATAGATTAATAAATAAATAAAACAAACTACCCTCCAGAAGAGTGGCGAAGGTGACGAAGAAGAAGAAGAAGAAGCATAAGAGGATGATGGGTAATCTAGGGTTTGTTGTCGACGCCTACAGACGTATGAACATGACGAATGGCTCAAAATTGCAGCACCGTGCATCTTCGCTGTTCTTGTTCTTCCTTGGTAAAATAGCAACAGAAAAATCAAAAACCTAATTCTCTCTGTAAGAAATTGTTGGAGCTTTTGAAGAAGACGACTTGGCTACGGGTTTTTATTATGGACCCAAGAGGCAAGAGAGAGGAGATGGAGAAAGCGCATCTTCGAGTGATGGCTGACTTGGCTCCGGAATTATCGTGGACCAAGAATTATTAGAATTAATCTTTTATTTAAAAACGAGTTGTTAAAAAAATGTCATATCTTGAGGTAGTACATTTTTATAAAATGATTTTTTCGGACTTTAAATAAATGATCAAATAGTCCATTAAAATCGCTCACGAATTAGCGAGGATTTTTAAACGACATAGATAATATTTAATGATTTTATTAAATCTTTGCATATACAAGTTTGAAGAAATTAGGAAAATTATTGGCATATAAAGGTAAACGATGCAACACTAATTTAATGTAACCCAAAATGAAAATTAATTTTAGGATGGGAAAATCAATAATGAAGCAATCAATTGCAAGAATAGAAAATAATGATTGTAATTCCATTTTATGAATTAGAAAATCAAAAATCAAAGTTTGAAGAAGTATCACATCAAGTATTGAAAGAATAAATAGGTCAAACAATTAATCAGTCTATTAATCATTTAATACATACCTTATCTTCTATTAACACGAAATTAGATTAGATAAATATGGCCAAAATCAAATAGAATTTTATAATGACAAAGTTATAACTAACACTAACCCTAATCAAATAACCTAATTATTAATTTCTAATTTTTCAAGTTTTTAAGAAAATGATTAAACCCTAGTCAAATGAACTAGCCCGGCTATTCTTTTAGACAATTGACTCTTTTTGTTTTGGTTATTTACTTGATCAAATCATTAAGGAGGTGTTTGAGATTATTTTTGAACATCAAAAGTCTTTTTTGTAGAAGAACTTTTTGTAAAAAAACTTTTTGCAAAAGGAGTTCTTTAAAATGTGTTTGGATTAGCAAAAAAAGTCAACAAAATAACTTTTTATTTAACTTTTACATGTAAAACAACAAAAAATCACAAAAAATCAAATTTTTGTGACTTTTAGAAACCCCAAAGTCATTTTCAAAAGAATTTTTTATTACCCAAACACCTTTTGGCTTCTTTATTTATTTATTTTTTATTTTTTTATTTTTTGAAAAAATTAAAAGTCAAAAGTCATTCTAAAAGTAATCCCCAAACACCCCATAAAGTTTATACTATTTCTTTGGACTAAAAAACTTAGGGGTAGACCCATTACTTTTCACAACTCTCCTCCGTAATCCCACACCACTTGTTTGATTTCTTCGAAGGAAATAGGAAATACAAAGGACAACGCTTTTATATGAGATCATTGGAAATAGCAGACGGCAAAAAGATGATAGAATGGGTCTTCATAAAATATTTTTTTCAAAGAACACTTTGATTGTTTGTCATATTATGTGATAGGGTTTGTGCACTAGGTACCACCAATATTGAGAGTGTTAAGCCAATTATAATTCCCGTTCTACTTGAGATAGAGTGAAAATATCCGTGTTTTCATCCCGTAGGGATGCCCATCTCGACCGAGCTTTTTGCTTAAGGTCAAGTCGAACCCTCTCCTCAAATTCTTCACATTTGGACATTAAACACCATATATAATACGATCCTACAATTTTAGGTTAAATCTTACTACATAATAAATTTTAAGGCGATCCGTATCATTTTTGGCTTGTAGGGTTGTAGGATCTTGGTACCCTATCATCAAGATCTAATTTTAACAATTTTGTTTATAATCATATAAAATACAATAATTATTTACAATATAATTAAAAGTTAGAGAAAGTTATTCGCGGTTAAACAAATATCCTTTTTAATAGGTTACCATTTAGTCATTTACCAATAAATGATAAACCCTATTTAGAAAAACAAGTTAGTACTGGATCATAAACCGTCAAGAAAGAGAAATTAAATATCCTTCTAACTTTTTTTTTTTTGTCTTCTATCCAAATGAAATAGTTATCCGTGTTATATTTTGATAAAATTAATAATATTAAAAGATATTTATAATCATTTCATATGGTAAAATAATAAATAGGAAGAAACGTAGAAAGAAATTTAATTTCTCTATGAAAATATCTCAAAGAAACATAAAATTCGAACACTAAGAATTAACTACACAGTTTCTTTTTTTCTTTATTCTTTAACACCCAAAAAGAAATTAACTAGTAATAGCAATTTAATCATACTAAATGTAACAAATATAATGATTGCAATGAATATTCATAGACCAATGCATACATGAATGCAAGAAACTTATAACGCCTGAAGTTTTCAATTCCAGTGCATCTGAGAAGATGTATACAGTGGATTTAGCATAGAAGAATTTGATTTCCCCTTTTTCTTTGAAAACAAGTCTCCCAGAAGAGGAATTATCGGTTTCTTCTTCACCACTTTCCTCTCCGTCATCTTCCTCCCTCCACCACCACTTACCACCGGGGTCAAGCCTGACATTGAGCTCGGCTCCACTACCTTTTCAGCTTTTGCGATCTTTGACATGTTCTTTTGGAGCTCAGCGTTTAAAGAAGCCAAAGCCACCTCGGTCTCAGACTCTTTCTCTTTCAGTAACTTCAACTCTTTCTTCGTTTCTTCAAGTTCCGACTCAAGCCTTTTCAGGGAGGTAACAAGCACTGGCACCGGCGGCGGCGGCTCTTCTTCGATTTCTCTGGAAGACGAGCATGATTTCCATGAAGTTTGAGTGCTATGTGTGGATTTCCATGATGGTGTTTCTTGTTTTGGTAAGGCGAATGGAGGTTTAGGAGATGGTAAGAAGATTTCTCCGGTGAGAAACTTATCTCCGAAGATGGCCACGGCTTCTTTCACTGAACTGAAAGCACGAGATGTGTCTACATTGGAGCTGTAGTCAACGGCTATTGGTGGTGGTGGTGGGTTTTCCGGTAGGGTTTGGGATTCCATGGTGGTGGAATTTGGAGGATGCAGTTAGAGAGTGTTGGCTTTTGATGATGGATGAGTGCTGAGTTTTCTTTGCTTTCACTTCAGATGTTGATGTTGTTGAGGGAGCTAGCTAGTTAGCTAGTGTTTGCTTTCACTGCAAGTACATGGTAAAGAAATTGACCAGTCAACTACTTTGACATTTCACTTGGTCAACGAATTAAATTCAGTTTGCAATTAAAGGATAAAAATCAAAGAATTAGTTGTAAACAAAATGAAACAGTTAGGCCTGAACCCATAAAGCTACTTTTCTTGGATAAATAGAGTTGGGGCTCAACTAATTTGGGGTTTAAACAAACCAAAACAAAAATATGGGGCGTTTTGATTTTTATTATAAACCTTTATCATTTATTCAGGTTTAGGATAACAATAATAAACTAAAAAGTTTATAAATGACTGAGTTAATTTTTTTATTATGTATATGTTTTTTTGTATGAATCACTAAGACAACTATAATGTTAGGTTAAATTTAGAAAATATGAGACCTTTAAAATTAGGGAGTGTTTAGAAAAAATATAAGATTGGTGGATAAACACGTACATACTCTACAACAAAACATATTTTCATACATGGATTTAGCGAAGAATATGAAACCATGAATAATTTGTGGATAATCCGTTACAAAGTTTGCAATAATATAGTGGGATAATATCTAAATTCTGTTGCTAAAACTAATTTAAAGTGTTCGCACCTAGAATAAATTTTGGCTGAAGTATATTTCCTTTTACTTATAATTTGCATATATAATGTTATATAAGACCTATAACTTTGAAAAATTCTTTTTAATTTTGACCGAAATGTATTCCCTATTACATATATACCGGTGGTGCACGGTACATGCATAACTATTTGGATGCTACGTCTTTGTAAATGGTTTGGATATCTAGATTTTTCATAAATGTAACATGCAATCCAAATAATTTGAAATTAAACGGTTTCTTAAAAAAACAACTCTTCAACCTGAAGACAAATAGACCGGATATCCTATGCACCCTATTTAAAATCAAACTTGATGCATTGATTCAAGACACAAGAGAGAAATTGTTATTTAGAAAAAGGTTCAAACAAGTATGTTAAATTAAAATTAAAATTTTAAACAGTTTTTATTTAGAAAGGTTCAAGCAGGTACGTTATACAATGAGTTTCAAAAACACAGGTTGCCTTACAATTATATGTCTCTTTATGCACTCCATTCACAAACTGTACCGTTGAACATATTGATCAATATATTTCAGCCGAGATTTTGAAAATTCATGAAGATCGAGACTTGTATCAACTTGTGAGTGAGTTAATGATTATGATCCATGAAATGCCCATTCATGGTAGATAATAATAAATGGTAAAAAAAGCTTTCTGAATAACTTCTCCAATCAAAATTGAGCTAATGATGATGGTTTACTATATATAAGAGACGGAATGATAGATCTTTTGTTGAAAAGTCTAGTGTTAGTTTGGATAACATAAATGTTATTGTGTATAACAAAGACCTTTTGAAAAGATATCAAAGATATTTTAATGTTGTGTGGTGCAATGAAGCTGGTTCTAAAAATATTTATTCAAATATATCAAAGAGATGTCCTTTTACCAAAAATAACCGACTATGGTAAATAAAAATAACACTATAGTAAATTACTTAAGTTTAACATCCATGTTTCAAAGAGATTTGTCATTTTACCAAAAATAGAAAAATAGTTGTTTTTGTTAAGGGTGACCATGAGTCGGTTTGGGTCAATTTTAGGGTAAAACCGAACCTAACCTGCTAATCTCGATTTTCAATTTTTAGAATCCTTTGGGTTCGGTTTCTCGGCTTCAACCCATAGGCACATGGGGTTTGGGCTTTAACCCATTTTCCAACAAATGTAAAAATTTTGAGATATTTTTTAATTTTGTTTTTATTAGCTTCGGTCAATTAAACACAAATCCTAATGGTAAAGGATTACTAGTATTTTTTCCTAGCCATTTTATTAATCTATCATGTATTATTATTGTAACACCCCAATTTTCAAATATCGATAAAATGAAAAATAATCATTCCAACATCTCCCAAGATCAGAACTTACTTATAGACTAAACTACAACGGAAGCAAAATAAAATAAAATAAAGTCTTCAATTGAACAAATTCGGATGTTACGTCTTTGCGGAATTCCTACGTCGTCTTCTGGATCAATCCTTCTCCTTGGACTTTTCTCAGCCACTTGCTAAATAGTTTCCTGGGTTGCGCACATTTAAAGTTTCTAAAAGGGGTAAGTCTAGGGCCTAGTGAGCTCGTGTTGCACATACATGTCAATCACATAAAAAAACAAATAGTTTTATCATATAGTTTCAATAAATCATACAACAAACATATCACTTGATGACATAATTTAGGGGACCGATTAATTATCCAGAGAAAGAACCAAATGTTCATTTCCCTTCTCCTTGAGACAACTCATCATCCATTGTACTCAAGTATTTTAAATATCTAAGGAAATGAGTATGATTCTCAATTCTCATCCCCGCCGATCACACATATCCATCATGCTCACGGCGATTAAACACCCACCCGTTCCCGCTAAACATGTCATCCAAAAACACATACAGTAGATAACAAATCCAAAATAACATTTGTACGCAACCATACTTATCATAAAACATATTGTCAATAAATAAATAAAAACCACATAATAAACGCATGACAAACATTTATGTGCGAGCAACCACAGAACACGAAAAAAAACTCACCTCGCTGTCGTTATGTCGTAACCGAAGCTTACCAGGATACCCGCACCCTACATTTTACCAACAATTTTTCTAAGACTATGATCCTAGAAAGCATCTTATGTGTCCATTTTGGTTCCACTATCTATATGTCTCCAACTAATGATTATTTATTTACGTTAATTAATTACAACGATTTGTAATGATTTTTACAAAACTATTTTATCCTTTTTTTTAACCTTTCATTTCTAAGATAAGGTTTCGCCCTTAAAATTTAACAATCAACTTAAATGGGTCAACCTGTCTAACAAATTTAATTAAATAGGTTGGGTTGAGTAAAAATTATCAACCCGTTTACAACCCGTCAATTAATTTAACTTTAATATATATATATATATATCTATATATATATATATATATATATATATATATATATATATATATATATATATATATATATATATATATAGGGTTAGGTTATTTTGTTTTTACTAACTATTGTGTGCCAGAATGCAGAGATCTGGACCACCGGATGATTAGAATCAACAATCATGATCTGAGGGTCTATGATATTACAATAGGGTAGCATTTATCATATAATCACACAAATTTCAGCAAAAGGGTATTTTGGTCAATTAACCTATTTTAAAAAAGGTAATTTTCGGTGGATCATTAATTCCCTTATTTTTAAAAAATCTGATTTTTTTTAATTAATTCTAATTAAATTATAATATTACTTTTAATAATAACCGATTTTATTCTGTCAGAATGACAAAAAGTCAACAATAAACTAGTAAATATATTTGTGGTTTTATTCTTACATAATATTGTTTCATTCAAGATACTTTTTATATTAAACATGCTTAAAGAATTATACAACATATTATCAAGAATAACATTTTCTAAAGAATACGGATTTTATTCTTTAAGAATCACTATTTACATTCATCCGTAAACAAAAAGACTATAAACAATTATTACAATCATTCTAAAAAAATTATGACTAATAATGGTTTAAGGATTACATTTATTCTTAAATATTAAAACTAAAAATGGTTAAAAAAAACATCAAAATCTAACAAAAACACTACTCTATTCCGAAAGAATATTATTCCGAAAGAATATTATTCCGAAAGAATATTATCGTTCTCCATGTTTTCTTCATTTTCCACATTAATGGCAACCTCTTCAAAACCTAAATTCACAAGGAAAACATAATCAACTTTCAAATATTAAAAATTTTAGTGCATTAAATAGAATAAAACAATAAATTCTAATAGAATGTGATATATATTCAAATAGAATATAACTATAATTTCTACAAACCAATATTAACAATCATCTCTAAACTTGCAATGTATATTATTCTGAAAGAATGTAATGTTTCATTATATAGGATGTTATTCCATAAGAATCGAGACCAATAACAAGATTATAAACCAATTTTATTCTGACAGAATTGGTTAGGGTAATTCATTGCTTAAGTTGACAAGGAATTCAAGATTCTATTCTAACAAAATTAGAATTCGATATTCCATTCTAGCAGAATGATCGACATCAAGATGCATTAAAAAAAAACCTAGATTTCAACTATGCATTTTATCGAACACTTGGTGTGCTTCTTCAGTTTCTTCAAAAAAAAATTAGTGAGAGTCTTACCAATTCAGTTTCTTGGTGGTCGAGAACTGGAGATACAACTAAAAAACATGTTATGATTAGTACAAGAGCATACCAATTAAGTTTCTTGGTGGTGTCGTTGACGACCTAAAATCCCCTGCTGCCTTCGTTTTCACCTCCTTTTGCAGACTCCACAACAGGCACCGAGCACCTCTTCACCGCCATCTGCTGCTGTTGCTTTTCCCCGGATTTCTTGTTGTCGACAACGAGAAGAAGCAACCCTAATCAACAAATTAGGGCATAAATCTTCAGAATTCGTTGATGAAATGTGGAGGGAAGTGGGGATCGCTGGAGAAAAAGACGATGTTCGATGCAGACGAAGGAGGGTCGTGAAAGAAGAAGAACCGGAGTAGAGAATTTTGTGAGGAGGCGAGATAGTTTTGTGAGCAACGACTAACTGATAAAGGGACGGTGGTTTTCTAGGGTTTAACTAATTAAGGAGAGATTAATTGAATGATTTTTTACCATAATTAGATATACTAAGTTTACCATTATACCCTTTTTTAATTTAATTAATGATTTATTGTTTCCTGAATTCTCATTGGTGCATTTAGGCACACACTATTTGCTAAAAACATTTGAACCTAGC